TTTTCAAGCCATATCTCATTTTAGATTGCACGAAAACATAATAAGCTGTCAATGCAGCTTCTTCGCCTACCCTCTCCGAGATAATCCTCAAAGCAAAGCCATGTCTTGATACCTCCTTTGCAATACTCTCAACATGCGCTTTCCAATCCAAGTACGTACAACGTATGTACTGTGGACATTAGAATTAGAATTTAGAATAAGTGGGAGGGGGGTTAATCTCTGCGACCTTAGAGATCTATTGTGTCCCCCTTTCTTGAGTTATAACTCATCATACAGTCCCAGGACTTCCTACGGAGACCCGTGTCCTTCATAGTCGAGGAGCTACGACCGAGGCCGGGTAGACGAAACGGTAGCTTGTGTCGCCTGTTGGGGTTTAGAGGTAGGATGTAGGCTCCCGACCCTTGGAGGAGGTGGTAGCTTGTATGCCACTTGCGGAGGAGGTTTCACGCAAGTGTCAGCCACCTCTCCTGTAGTTCTCTTTGGGTTTGGCCCCTTGGAACTTTCATTGTTACTGTTCCCAGTGTCGCTAGGGGGTTTCCCCACAGCTTCACCGGTGATGTTTTTATTACTATTATTACCAGATCTCATAGTGTTCCCATGAGTCGCTAGGGACAGTCGGTCCACTTCTACAGAGCCCCGCATGTAGAAGTAAGGGGTAAAATACAATGGAGTGCCCCCCGATGCCCCAAGGTTGAGGCTGTCAGTAGCCTCGCCCGGTATCTTTATATGTCTTGGTACAATTCCCTGGCCACGACACTACACTCAGGGACAAAACGATGAGTGAGATGCTTCTTAGACCAAGCCAAGTGCTAGGGGGGATTCCCCCCAGCACCTGACCAGGAGCTTCCCCACCAACGACAAGGTCTTGCATCTCCTAGGGGTATCTACTGTGGATATACAATGTACGTACTATGGACATACATTTTTCAACGACGTATAGGACCTAGGAATTTAATTAGAACTAATTCAATGGAAGTCAGCTTAAAATATTTATTAATATAAAAACTCAGGTACAGGGTCATCCCTTATGTCTTGATACACCCGTGAGTCTGGCTTCGGTCCGGCAACTACACCCTTAGGGCACTCTGTCTTTTATTGGATGTTGATAGATATTTTATTTTTTTTATTCTCGAACTGCTTCTAACTAAAAAATACAAAAAGAAAAGTAAGTATTCAAATATATAATTCTTGCCTCTGTTTTGAAAAAATTGAATGAACCGATTCCGAGACCGATTCTCAATCATTCGAGGTTGTGACTGTGCTAGGTGAAATAGTTACATTATATGTGGCAGTGTCATGTAATTCATCTGATGATTCCCCACTTTGAGATATACAACATAAGTTATCTCGAGGGTTATCTGTCTCAGTTTCGCTATTGATAAGATGTGGCAGAGAATCTTCAGACTGTAAATCAAGAACTGAAACATCTGATGTGCTATGTTGATCATTACAAGATTGAAGGAAAGATGCCTGATTAAATGAAGCAGGCTGTCTATTTTGATTAGGGTATGGGGCCTCTCTCTCTCTTGAAGAGCTCTTTCAAACCGCTTAATTTGAACATTTGCCCTTTTGTAATATTTGCTAGAAGTATCTTTGCGCCACATTATATTATTACACTTTAACTTACCTTGAAACAACGAGCAACGAAGGCAACGACAAAGTGACAAAAGAAAACAAGGCGGAAGCCAAACAACCTACGGCCACCATGACACATGACACCCACTCACACAACACAATCGAAAACTGGATCGGAGTAGGTGCGCACTCATTGTATTGTTGTTTTTATTTTTTACGTTGATTAATAAAAGATGGAAATACATTGAGCGCACGTGCGCGCTAGCTCTGCCAATCAAAAACGCCATTAGAAACCGCCCGACTTCCGATTCCGACAAGACTCGAATGTGAACGAATAACTTAAGACGGAAATTTAAACATAGGACTGCATAATTTTCCTGTTGTGGCTTGATTGCATAATATATTGCATTTTTAACCCATCAGATTTCTTCAAAGGCTGTCATGCACTATGGTCATTGGATAATTTAGGAAATCATTTTTTATAGCGGTCGGGTTAGATTTATTAATAAAAGAAGTAGAGGTAGGTTAGATGAGTGACTTGAATTAACGTTAGCCTAGAAAAGATCCACTGATCCAGTCCATTCATTATTATTGGGTATATCTGACCAAAATAATCCAGTCATGATATTAAAATTAAATAACATTTTGTAATGCGTTGTCAAAAATTTTCAAGATACGTAGTACGTACTCGCATGTACGTCCGTAGTGAAGTCTTACAATGTACGTAAATAGTACGTCCCTAATTGGTCCCGGGATGTACTGACGTAAAATGGACATAAAATGTACGTCCCTGGGACGAAGTGTGCTGTATGGGTAACTTAGTAAAATATTTTAACCCCCCCAGTTACAGTTGAATTAGATTTTGGCCCAAATATTCCTAAATGTAGGTAAACTATCACAGCTTAAAGAATGGCTTGTATTTATCAGTTTTTAAAATATCTTACTTTTGACTGTAATGAAATTATACCTAGGTATTTATTTACTCATTAGAACTCTTTACTTATCTTAAGAGTGTTTCTTTATTTTGTTAACACTTGACTTATAGGTTTAAGCGTACTTGGATTTTAAAAGAAAAAACAAAAATCACTTTATATACTTTATTAATTTTATTTTGGCACAAGAAAGAACAGTGATCTATTTTCTATAGTTCAGTTTTCAGAATTTCTTACATTTTCGCTAGTATTATTATTATTTTTCATTATGCTGAGGAGAGGATAGATATTAAGGTCGTACCACCACAGCTTAAAGCCAACGTTCGCTCTAGTTTCTAACGTTATTAAGGATATACAAAACGTCGATTTTTAAACTGTTATAGATAGCCTTTTTTCTTCTTACGTTCACTAGCCCTATATTAGCATTACGTAATACTTTAATTCCTACATATTACTATTTTTTTTCAAAATTCACCATTATCAAACCTTTAACAACCTTTCAAGAACCTTTAGTAAGTTACATGCTACATTTTTTACAATATACCTAATTAATAAGTATCAGGTATCACAATTTATAGGCTTAATTACAAATATATTATAAAAAGATAAAATACATTAGATACTGAGAAAAAATAAAACGAGTGCTATATGTGTGAAAAAAAGAAAACAAAAATGGCAATTATTATTACATACTGCGAAATAAAAACTAAAAATTGATAAAACTGTTTTATAAATTCTGCTGTTTCTTTTTTGTTAATATAACAAAATTCTCAACGTCATGTTTTTTAAATAACTATTTTTCAATATATAGCTGCCGTTAGCCTCATATTCTATGCTACTTATTGAAATAATAAATTAACATATTGAAAAAAAAAACAAATAAAAAATATAATCTAGGTACACAGAAATAACTAAAATAGTCATAATAAAAAATAACTGTACATGTTTTAATATTATAGAAATAAATAAAAGAACTATATCCACTTAAGTTTACTGGCTTTAATCTACACTAAACATATATAAACATTAACAATGTACATTGCACAATTTTTCTTTCAATATGTGGAATTTGCTTTGTACCAAGTATAGATACTAAATAAAAAATATTCTGCCAGCGATTTATTTTCCTTTAAATAAATATGTATATTGAAAGAAGAAGCTACGAAAATATTGTAAAAACATCTTTAACCAGTCAATGTTGTAATACTAAAAATTCTGTCAAATGGCTAATAAGATTTATTAACAGAAACAAAAAATAAGAAAAAAAAATGAATATACGGCCTTGATTTTATTCTTATTGTACAAATACTCTACATCTATGTTAAGAACTAAAACATAATAAGTAAAAACAGAAAAAGACAGACAAAATTTAAAAATTTACAAAAAATAACAGAGTAAAGACAAATAAATAACTGGAAGCTTTAAGGATAATCTAACTGACTATTTACATAACAATATAACTACAACACCAATCTAATTATTTTACACTATTCGCAAAAGTCATTTCAATGGCACTATAGCTGCTGCCCTGTTTTATAGTACAGTAGTCATTAAAATAATATTGGCTTTGCATAAAAATCACTTCTTGATGAATAAATACCGTTATTGAATATATATTATTATGATAATGTATAATATTTTTATCAGTTTATTATCAGACATTTATATATCGTTTAAAACTTTATCATCGACTTTATTTTCTATGTCAACTATAGTATATACCGGGTGCGTCTCAAAAGTGACTCATCCCCTATAACTTTTTTATTCTTTCAGGTAAAAAAAAACGAGATTTGGTATGTTAGTATATGACATAAATTAGGATTGATTGACGTATTCAGTTGTTTTAGGTCACTTCCTGTTTAACCGGAAATGACACTGCAACTTTTGATTTTTAAATGACACCCTCGGTATATTTTTACTTTATTCGATAGAAAGTACCACTCTGAATAGAATGACATATCATATGTCAACTTTTGACATTTTTGCATATGGCTTATTTGAAATTATAACATGCAGTTCGTAACGAAAATTTGACTCCAAATGCCAAGTGTGTGGTATCAAATTATTCGTAAAAAATGCTTTTTCCAAATATGCTAATGCGTGACCTTCGTTCCATTTGAAAAAATTGAGATATGATTAAAAATATAATAGCATTTTCTAACTAGCCAGGACAAGACACTAAAAACATTAGACGATTAAATCTATTTTTCCAAGGCTCCTTGATTAAGAATTAATGTTTTTAACATAGACATGGCACTCTGGATTGAATTTTAAAATACGATTTTTCATTAAGCTAGAATGTCAAAAGTTGACATAATAATATGTCATTCTATTTAGAATGCCTTTTCCTATAGAATAAAGTAAAAAAAATACCGAGGATGTCATTTGAAAATCAAAAGTTGCAGTCATTTCCGGTTAAACAGGAAGTGACCTAAAACAACTGAATACGTCAATCAATCCTAATTTATGTCATATACTAACGTACCAAATCTCGTTTATTTACCTGAAAGAATAAAAAAGTTATAGGGGGTGAGCAACTTTTGAGACGCACCCGGTATATGTCGTTAAAAAAATGATAATACAACCAAACACGATGGTTTAAGCTATTGAAATCAACAAATTTTACAAGTAGTTTTAATACTTTTTTGATAATCCATTTTGATATTTCAATTTTTTCTTCTGATACCCATATCGACTATAATTTGAAACACCCTCTACACTACGCGTGAAACAGTGCAAAACAAGGTCGTGTTTCCTCGTTTAACTTTGCCTCGGCTTATTTCCAGTTGTTTCGGCTTGGTTTCATTTGTCTCGGCCTATTTTCATTTCCTAAAAAACTAAAAACGCCTTTTTACCATCGGTAACTGTTTTCTAAATGCAATGTTTTTAATTTTTACATTCCATTAGAAACTAATTATATTTATTCATACTCCATATTTACTTATTTTTCTGAAGCCAACACAAAGTTTAACCTTGATTACTTCGTCAAGTAATACGAAAGTATATCGGTCGAAACGTTTCTCGAAACAGTTCCCGAGACAATTCCAATAACAATAAAAAATAAACAACCAATCACGGCTTATCTCGGTCGATTTCTAACTGTTTCGGAGTATGCAGTAGACAGGCCAATATTCCCAGCAACAAAAGAAAAGCATTGAATTTGCTTCCGAAAGTATTTCGAGAAATGCTTCGCGAAATGTTTCACAAAATATTTCCAGAAATATTTCGCGAAATATTTTGGGCATAGTGTAGAAGGTGTTTAAACTTAGTTATTTATGTAACTTGTTGTAAAACAGACTAACTCTTTTGTGTTATTAATGAAGTTTGCAATGGACATGAATTACACAAAATATATATCGCCCAACATGCATAATAGTGTATTGTTTTATTAGGAGTTAAAAGGATATTTTTTGTTGCTAGGCTGTACGTAATAAGTAATAAGTTCATGCTCTATATTTTTAGTTTTATACATGTAGTAACAAATAACCTAAAAATGATCTATTTTTTAAGCAATTGTTGACGAATCATTTATTTTATCATTGTAATAGCTGCGAAAGAAAATTCTATTATATAGTTGTGAAATGAAACGCATGAAACACTTTCAAAAACGCCAAAAGATTATAAAAAAATGTCACTTTAAATATCAAAATTAGGAAAAGTATTTTGTTGGGAGTTAGGGCACATATAACCTTCGTTGATATGTCGAATTTCTGAATAAAATCGAATAAAATTAACAATTCTCTGTCGTTTTATAATTAGTGATCTAAAACTTATAATAATTTTATTTTTTAAATTCTTGAAAAATAGTCTTCCAGTCTTCTTCGCAAAAATAAAAAAATACGCATGAAATGGAAAGAAATCAAATGGAAGTTTTAAAATTAATTAATTAAAAATATAGAATATAAAATAATATCCGCACATATTCCAATAAATAAAATTTTCCAGATTAATGAGTCAGTTATAGGTTGAAATGATTGATGTAGACTCTTCTAACAAATATAACAGATCAATAATAAGTATAATTGATACCAAATAAACTGCTAGTTACGTTACCGAGGGCGCAATTATTAATAATACGCCCCGGGACTGACTAACTGGAATTTAAATTTCCCGCTGGTGATTCAGGTAGTTGCTCTGTTGTAAAAAATCCCAATTTTCCACATTTATTTCTTTCTTTCCTGACATTTTGAATCGTTTTGGCGCTTTAGTTTTGTATTACGAGTTTTTGAGCTTAAGTGAATTGTGTTGTATGACTTTAAGCTTAAATGTTCTTCTAGCAGACCTACAGTTGAAAATTCTTAACAGCCGTTGCAAAGAAACTCATCGCAACCTTATTAGAATATTTTGAATGAAAAAGCGGTAATAATGGCTCTTTCTGTATCTTAAGGTGCTTTTAAAGAGGTTAGTTTTGTTGATGTAAATATTAACTGTTTAGATATTTATAATTCATTCATTTTAGTTTTCTAGAATATATTAATTAAAAGAAAATATATAAATTTGGCAACGCTGTGTCGGCCAAGCTTAACCACGCGAGACTTAAAGTTTATTTGGTATTATCTATAGCCTCTTTGCATACAACCAAACATATTTTAATGACACTGCACGTCCCAATATAAGTCGAATCTTGTTTTCAATTTCTAGTCTAAGAAAAATTTAGACGTTCCATCCCCAATTAGCGGGGCGCTATACAAAAAAGAAACCGTTCAGAACCATCCTGGGAAAATCATTTCCCCATTAGGCCAGGCTCAGTCGTCGTCCTTCCTCGGACTAGAATCGTATGCGTTGCGTTCGTGTGCAAAGTTCAAAACGTCCGGCGAAGAACTGTCTTGGGGATAGAAGAATCCCCTATCCGAGCTAGGTCCCGCTCCATTCATCAGATGAGGGGGAGTCAGGGAGGGTCTCCCCGATGTCGATGTGGCCGGAGGTGACATATCCGCCGAAGGGGACATGCTGAAATTCATATCAGAACTGTCCCTGCACCATAACTGTCTCATTTCTTGACGTCTCTGCCTCATCAACATCTTGTACTCGGATATACGCATCTTCTTTCCGTCCACGATACAAGTTCTTTTCGGTCTGGGTCTGTATCGATAGTCCGGATGCTTTTCCATGTGCAGCTTCGAGAGGCGAGATTGTTCTTCGTAGTAGGGTTGCTTCTCGGAATTGGACATGCCCTTCCATCGAGCGCCTAGGATTTTCGAGATGTTCGAGTTGTGCATGTCGGGGCAGGCCTTCAGGATCTTCCGCCGCTCGTCTTTGGCCCACACCATGAACGCGTTCATGGGGCGCTTGATGTGGGGCTTGTTGTCGGACTCGCGTTTCGGTTGCTGTCTGATGATTTTCGCCTTGTCCGAGTTCTCGTCCATTTTGAAGTTCGGATCGGGGCCGCCCCACACTAAAAAATAGACAAAAACAGTGTTAGTAACTTTTATATTAAGTATTTTATACTGAATAGTTAATTTGTGAAGTTTTCTGTCAATTTTTAGTCTAGAGATTGACTTTTATTCGTCGATTACTCATTACTCTTACTCATCGATCGTCATTCCCTAGCCGTCTTTGACGTTCTTTTTTCTATTACACGGTACCTTACATGGTATTTATATGCAAATTAAATGAATTTATATCCGAGTATTTGCCACTTACAGGGTGGCCTATTAGTGACGAAAAAGCTGCATTCAGAACCTCGAAATCGGTGGAATAAATTAGTAGTTTCAATTAGCCTACTTCAAAATTTGGGAGGAATGTCATTCACACCGTCATTGAACAAGGTAGAAGTTTTTCAGAATGTCCTAAAAAAACTGCTTGTGGGTTATCATTTGGGGGGATTTCAGTCACACCAAACACCCACTCTTTAAATCGCAGCTGCTTTTTAAACAACTTTTTTTCAAAAAATAATTTTATTTTTATTTTCGTATATTGTATTTATTATTAAACAGTATGTTTTTAATATTATAACATAATATATTAAATTCTAACTATATTAAAAACTTAACTAAAGGAAAAGATCCCAAAAATCGAATTTCCTCAGAATTTTACCCTTGTAGTTATAGCCTGCTGGAGGAAAAATCCAGAACTTCTGGATTTGGAGGAAACTTCTGGATCTGGAGGAAAAATCCGGAACCTGCTGGAGGAAAAATCCAGTTCAAGTCCTAAGGTAAAGACACAGGCCAAAATTGAACAATTTTCGACACTGTAACGATTTTAGTTCTTTACACGTCTTTTTTATATATAATATATGATTTCTGGCCTATCATCACCGGATTCCCTCTCGTTCAGGCCGGATAGTTTATTTGACGCGTAATTTTTACGTTCTCTAATCGGCAACCTTGCTATCGTTTCACTGTTCTGTGGAGGTGCTGTCAACATCGCTTCTGTCAACTCTCTCCGTGCTTAACTTCACTTGGCTTTGACCGTCCGACTGTCACCGTCAAAAAATCCTTGCTTCGAGAAACTGCAATTATAAAAATCTTGCTGTATAATTTGAATCAGCTGCTATTTTGAAGTTACAGGTAAAAATGAGATATTATCTTTTTTGATTCGTTATTATTACTGCGTATTTTTAGGGTAGAGTTTTGGATGTCCCAACCTAACTTGTATCTGTATTTTGCTGGCCCGTTGGCGTCCCTTTTCTTTTGTCCTCCAGAATGTCACATGGAAGAAAGGACATGTTCTTTATTATTTAGTGAGCCCTCGGAAGTAATTCGAGGTAGGTTCATTTTGTTTGTTAGACCTTGTTTGATTTTAAACAAGAGTTTCGTATTTTTAGGGTCCAAGGTACGGACTATTTCCAAGGTTATAGTCCTAAGTTATGGTCCAAGGTACGGGTAGTGTTCCCTTGTACCATTATCCTATGTACGGATGTCCTGTGAACGAGTGTCCCAGTAGGAATGATTTTTTCTTGCATATAAAGTGCCCCAGCGTGGATGTAGCTTGAGCCCCATGCTGCTTCGTTCCCATCCTAAGCTAGTTAGTAGTTACGGCTGTTCCAATTCATGGTGTCCTCATTCTGGCCCCTTTTGTTGTATTGGATGGCCGAGTACAGAGATGCGAGCCCACCTCACGCTGTTACTGTTTGAAGCAAGATTATATAAAGAACAGCTAAGTTTAGATTTAAGTTTTAGCTTATATTTAACATTTAACACATTTTCAGTCTTAAACAATAACGTACATCTTAAGTAATATCGTACAGACTATGTTTAGTGGTTAGATTGTTAAGAACATTCATCTCGATTTAATGTTTAAAATATAATTTAGATCTTAGGTTTCATTGCATTACGTCTTGTAATGGTATTACTTTTATAGATATTATTATTGCACTATTTTAACAGATGAATAACCAAACATAGATTCTAGAATCTAAAGGTTGCAACATCTTCGATTTAACATCACATAAAATATATCAAATTAATTAAAGTAATACTACATTTCATACATTCTCTTAAACTTTACATGTCTTGTATTTTATCATAGTTGTTTTCATAGATATTTAGTACAACTCTTAACACCACTTTCTTTGACATATAACCACTATATATTTACTAGAACTTTACAATGTCATGTACCAGCAAAGAACATCATGAATGAATATAGTCACTAGTTTTAAATAATAAACAACTGTGTTTTCTTTCTCTGTTCATGCTTGGCACCCAATATTTATAATTTCGAGTTATTATTGTTAATTAGTTCTTTCCAGTGAAATACCTTATCCACGACTGCTCTACCAACGAAAAGCTGCCGTTCGCAGTGGTAATGTTTATAAAAAACGCTACAAGCTTTTAACTAATTTAAGGAAAACTGCAAATATTTATAAATTAAAACTGAACAGGTAACAATGGAAAACTAAGCAAATACCAACCAATTTCTCCTACCCTTAATGAAACAATTTTATTGAAGTTGTATGTTATTGAAATCACCGATAATTTATTGATACTAAATCACCATTATCTGCTAAAAATAGCTACCCTAAAATGAATACCTATGTACGATGGTATCAAAATACAAAATACCTTTATAGGCTCTGAGAGTTATGGTAAATGAACTAGAGCAAAATAAAAAATAGAAATTGATACCTTCTTTTAAATAACGAAGTAGGAAAAATTATGGAATACAATTGGCAGAATTTCAAGTCTTTTATTCAAACGCGGCAGATATAAAATATTACGTATTATTACAAAGACAGCTGAGATCAAAGACAATGTGTCACTGGCAGTTTGTAAATATGGCGAAATGCAAAATTCCTCAAAAGACAAATTAAATTTCCCGGTGAAAATTTTACTGGAAGATACAGGCAATTTCACTTTAAGCGAGTTTATTTATTCTGACAGGCCTATGCTTTGAATAGAAATATTGTCTCTCTTTGTAAGAGACGCGGATCATAAACAATGCTTTTAACAAGATCATCGTTTTTTAAACACGGCCATTTTTCTTTCGAGAAATACTGTTATGTCGCTTTTTATTTTAGTTTTTTCTCTAAAGAATTGCCAAAAAATTCCTTTCAAGTCGCTCATTAAGGAAAGCATAAATTATGGGCACAGCAATTAAATTATACTTTCTCTTAATCACAGCGAACAGAAAATATAATGCGATAGCCAGGGGCGCCTTAAATTTGAAAAATGTATGCATATTAATAATTGATACATCTTTTTTATTCTTTTCTATTGTAGTTTCTAGGTATTTAAGACTCACCCTATATAGTTATTTGTTGTATATTGAATGGTCAATTATTAGCTAAAAAATACAAGCTATCGCAAAAAAATTAAATACAAAAGTTATGGGTGTTGTGTTAAATGTCTATTTTTTATATCTATTAGCTAGAAGTAAATCTAAGTATACAGGATCGGTCATGAAGTTGCGGCATATCAATATTAATGTATTATTAATCAATAAATTATTTTTTTTAAATGCAAATGCCTGTATATTATTAGAATAAATTTCAATTCTTTCTTCACAATACACATATACATAATTTACCTAAATTCAAACATTTCCGAATTATGAAGTTTTGATTTTGGAATGTTAAACGAATTTTTTTTAATTTCCAGACATGATTTAATTTCATTTTATACATCTATAAATGCCAACTTCAGAACTAATGTGAAATATTATAAAATATCACAGTTTCCGCAAAATGGCATTGTTAAATGAAACCGAACACATCGAAATTAATTAAATTGAATTGTTTAAGTGATATTTTCAAAAGCCAATAACTCGGAAACGGTTGTTTTGAGGTACATTGTGTGTATCTCGATTTTTGCTTAGAATTGAGGGAAGAACGAAAATATGGAATAATATACAGGTGGTTAGATTTAAAAAAAATAAACTTTGCTGTGCCACGACTTTATGACTGACCCTGTATACTTAAATTTATTTCTAACTACTAAACAACTTACTTTGTTTGGTAAAATACCAGACAAAAATCATATTCGGTGGCTTTGATAAAAATTTACTGTTGGAAGAGCCATATGTAACATAATACCGCAAATTTGAAACCGTTAAAAATTTAGAAACACTGTTAATACAAGAAATGTTTACTTTTTAATTCTGCATCTGAAAGAAAAATAATATACAGGGTGTGGTATTTAAAAAAATTGAAATATAGCATTTTAAATATTGCAATGTTGGCGACACCATAAAAATTACACTGTTGAAAATAATGTAAATTTTTCTTCGCGATTTTATTCTGTTATCCTTGGTGTTTAGGAAAATATAGCTGAGTATTAATAAAGTTAAATTCACTCCAATATTTAACCACTTTTCGAATATAGTGTTTTTAACTAAAGTTTTAGTAAATAAGAAATAGAATGGCAACACCGAATAGTGCTTCAAATAAATATAGTGCACTATATGCAGAATTTTATGCTGAATACAATTCTCTCTCTTCAGTCCTGACCCCCATTAGGGAGTGTAGTGGTCAGCGTAACATCATGGATGATTTTTCTCCATGCGCCTCTGTCTTTTGTCATCTCGATGACATCGTGCATTGGTTTGCTACACCTAGTCGTGATCTGGTCTATCTATCGAGTTGGAGAGCGGCCACGTGGTCTACGTCCCTCCACCTTGCCTTGAATTATGAGTCTTTCCATATTGTCCGGACTCTTCCTCATTATATGTCCAAAATATTTTAGTTGTTTTAGTCGGATTTTACAGGAAAGCCTGTTAGTAATATTAAGTTCATTTATAATGGAAACGTTTGTACGGCATTCAGTCCATGGGATACGTCTACGTCTATAACAATACATCTCGGTAGCATCGATCTTCTTACGTTCCGCCTGCCTGAGAGTCCACGATTCGCAGCCATACGTCAATATTGGGAGTACCAAACAGTTGACTAGCCGGTTTTTGGTGGCTCTTGAAATCTGGCGGTCTTTCCAGATCTTGGTCAGTCTCCCAACAGCTACCTTTGCCATGTTGCACCTACGCTTCACCTCTTCTTCCGATGTGCCTGTATTTGTCAATAGTGATCCCACGTATGACTTAACGACTTCAAAGCGGTCGATATGACTTATATTTGGATGGTTGTTATGTTGCCTATCAACTATCATAATTTTGGTTTTTTGCGTATTTAGTTCCAGACCGAGCCGATTGCTTTCGTTTTCTACCCTATTTACTAAATTGATTAACTCTTCTTGACTGTTAGCGAGTAGTGCTGTATCATCTGCAAAGCGTAGATTATTTATTTTTTGGCCATTTATTGAAATGCCTCCTTCCCATGTTTCTAGCGACCTTCTCATTATGTATTCTCCGTATATGTTAAATAGTTGAGGAGACAATATACACCCCTGTCTGACTCCTTGTTCGAGGGAAAATTCCTTTGAAGCTGAATCCAGTATTCTAACTGATCCTGTAGTGTGCTGATACAACTGAATGATAAGTGAAATAAGGTGTTGCGGTACCCCCACTTCCTTTAAGATTTTCCACAGGTGATGCCATCTGATTTTATTATCTACGAATCTATGAATACAATTATCTACAGAAAAATGGGGGGTGCAATTTAAAAAAACTTAAAGCTTTATCATATTTTTTTTGTTATGCCCCGTATACACTAAAATATTTTTAGTTTATGCCCCTTTGTAAACGAGGCAACATTTATATAAAACTTTTTTTCATATCTTCGACAACGATATTGGACTCCGTCGCACTAATGGGACTAAATACTACGACAAAAAGAGCTTGATCAACGAAGAGTTGAAAAAATGACCAAAGGCCAAAGTCTAATGTAGAGAGGGGAATGTGCACCGCAGTAATGCGTGAGCAGTTCCAGCGCAGTTTGTCAAGCAAATAGTGGATTTTTTTAGTCGGTGGGAATCCGACACACCTCGGTCGCTAGAACAACAGACTGTGTGGGCGTCTGTGAAGATTTTTTTGATCATCTAACTACCCAACTACAAACTACTTTTCCAACTACAAAGAGAGTATGTAAGGGAATCTACACCATAATTGGAAAAGGTTGAATAAGCTGAAAATGATGATGATATTCATAGTTAAATTAATTGTAAAATAGAAAACAAATTTCTTGCAGTAGAGGTATATAATAAAATTATGTAAGGATTCTTGCCACTTAACTGCTAATATAGAATTAAATTTCCACCTAGAGAAGAGAGAAAGAATTAAATTTCTATATTAGCAGTTAAGTGGCAAGAATCCTTATATAATTTTATTAAATGTAAAGTTTAGTTAATATTTTTCACTTTAACACCAATGAGTAAGAATTTATGCCGTCTCCTCCATTGTTTAGTTTAGTTTACATATTATTTGAAAAACAAGTATCACAATAAAGAAACTTACATTGGCAGGCTGTTATAAAATCATTCTCCTCCTTCATCCCATCGGACTCCTTCGAACGCCCACCCAGATTTGGAGGAGGCATTCCGTACATAAGAGGAGGAAAGTGCGACTGCTTCTCCACGTTCTGCCTCATGTCACTCCCGCCTTTTCTACTATCCACTCCAGGAGGCAGAGGAAATTGGGGAGGCAAACCAGCGTACGGCAAAAACGGACGACTGGGCATCATCATATTGGGTGGCAGAAGACGGGGAACAGTCGCGGCTACTGGCTGATCGTTGATGTTCTGCTGTTGACTTGAGGGCGTATGAGCTGCTGATTCCATTGGCCCACCTGATTTCGGCTTGGAAAGGTTCAACGGCGTGTCCGGATCGCTCGGAGGAAGGGAAGGTGATGAGGGGTGTTGTTGAGGACTTCTACGTTCGCTCGAATTGACGGTTAGTTGTTGTGCACTGGACTGTTGCTGCTGGTGCTGCTGTTGTTGTTGTTGCTGTTGTTGTCTATGCTGTTGTTGAATTTGAGCTAAGTGAGCCGTTGCTGAGATCCAGTTGGGCATTTGATGCGGTGGCAACATCTTTAAAAAACAAAATTAATATACAGAGTGTTTCAAAAAATCGTGGGGAGATTCCTAACGTAAAAATAAGATTTATTTTTCATATCAACTTAGGTCCGATTGTGCTTTGTTTGGTAGCTACATGGTGTTTAAGTCTTAATAATCTTTCGATTTATTATAATTTTCTTCCAAGTAGTTTTAGTGATTCGACTGAAATTTTGAGGGTAAAAGTTACTATAAGTGCTACATATTTTAATGCTAAAAAAGTGTCGAAAAATTCATCACGGACTTGGATATGGGTGATCACTAGAATATTTTTCTAAAAAGAACATGTGCTCCACAGCCTTTCTTCTTTTGATATCAAAATTGTGTAGGCCAATTAAAATTTATCTCTTGATATTTTGTCGAATTCGGCCTCCTTGATGAGATAAACGCAATTTTATTAATCACAATTAATAAAACTAAAATAAAATGAATACATTTTATATTTTACGTTAATTTATTATGAAATATTATTATTATTAGTTATTATTACTATTAGTCCAACCTACAGCAGTTTCAAATAAAAAAGAAGGGTATGTAAGATAATTAAATAAAATCTAATTTTAAAAAGTTCAACATCCTGTAACTCTAAATTATACCCACGTTTATAAGATTTTTTTTCATACTTTTTGATGATTGACCAAAGGGTACTTATTTAAAACTTATACAAGTTAATGATATTAAAATTTTTAAAAGCTTGCTATTTAGACTTGGATCAATAATTAATGATGGATCATTCAAAAAAGGCAAATTAAAAATTTCGTGTATCTCATCAAGAACGCCAAAATCAACAAAATATCAAGAGACAACTTTTAATCGGCAATAAACTGCTTACACTATTTCGCTAACAAGAGAAGAAAACTCAGTGGCGTACATGTTTTTTTTTAGAAAAATGTACCAGTGATAACCTATATGGAGGTCCCTGGTCAATATGTCTACACTTTTTTAATTTTAAAATATGTCGTATTTATAGTAACTTTTACTCTCAAAATTTCATTCGGAACTTTAAAAGTATTTCGAAGAAAATTTTAATAAATCGAAAAAATATTAAGACTTTAACACCCTGTAATTACGAAACAAATTTTTTTTTTAAATGGAAATCATAGTTGGCCATGACTTCATAAAAAGCGCCATTTTTTAAGCTTTTTAGTGATATAAGCTATAAGATCTTTTCTTCGAAAAATTACTGAGTTATAGCCAATTCTTATCATTTTTAAATAATTTCACTTAGTTAGCCATGGAAACAAGTTCAATCGCCGATGCTCTCAGAAATGTTAAGCTGTCACATCCAAACTTTGTAAATTATAATAAACAAAAATTGTAAATATGAATTTTTCAAATGAAGAAAAGCGTGTAGGTACTCGCGCATCAATAGAGTGATTCTAACATGACTTTCAGTATGACACACCACCCCCCACCCTTCATAATGAAAGAAATTTTAAAAATTATTTATATCATAAAAGGGCCTCCTCGATCACCTGACCTATCCATTTTAGAATTTTTTATGCGGTATAGTTAACAATAAGGGTTTACAAAAGAACTTAGAATTAAGAGAGGCACTCGAAGTGGCGGTACGAGAAAAGTTTAATTAAATCGACCGGTCCTTCTGTGAGAATAAGTAGTAATTCAGTTTTAAAAAGATGGCAATTTGGCAATTCAGCTTTGAAAAGAACTCAAAACAATGGCGGGTTTTTTGAACATTTTCTAAAATAACTTAAAGTGTATGTAGTGATATTATTTTTTTAAGTTTTAGTTTGTGTAATGTAAATTGTAAAGAACCGTTTAGTAATATATTCTGACTTTTTATAAGTTATAAATCATAACAGAATAAGAATACCATGCAATCTAAGTGAAATTAGTCAAGAAAGATAAGAATTGGCTACAACTAAATTTAACTTTTCCAACATGTCTTGAAAACCGTTCTCTAAAAACGTAACATTCACCGGTCAACGTATCCTCGAAAATGTATGGCCAAGAAAGGTGGAACCAATAATCCTACACGCTTTTCTTCATTTGAAAAATTCATATTTACAAGTTTTGTTTATATTAATTTATAAAGTTTGGATGCGACAGTTTTACATTTCTCAGAGCAACGACGATTGAACTTGTTTCCATGGCTAACTAAGTGAAAATGTTTAAAAATGATAAAAATTGGCTATAACTAAATAATTTTTCGAAGAAAACATATTATAGCTTATATGGCTAAAAAGCTTAAACAATGGCGCTTTTTATGAAGTCATGGCCAACTATGGTTTCCATTTAAAAAAACATATGTTTGTGTCATATATCAAAAATGACGGGCTTTAGAAAAAAACGGAGGACACGGTCTCATTAAGGATCCATTTTCTACAACTTTTATCTGAAAACTTTTTGTCTAAAATAGCTTATAATGGAATTAGAGACAATTTTTAAAATAGCCGAAATTTGTTTTTTTCGAAATATCTAGTAAGCCATGAACTTTTTCAAAAATCTGAAAGGCGAAAACTTATGACCTCACAAAACTGCAATTCTTTTCCCATTTAACCGACTCTCTATCTCCAGTAGTTTCCGAGATAGCCATAGAGAACATCGTAGGAAACTCACCCTGTATATACGTTTTTGGAGATAATTAGCCCTTTTTAATAAAATTTAAAAGGCAATTTACTTACATGGTTTGTCAGGGGACTTTTCGCCACGACAGGCGGAATGGCGGAATTGTGCAATCCTCGAGACAATTGTTCGAAGAAAGGTAGAAACATGACATTTTGTGGTCCAACATGACCTGCTCCAGAATATTGCGCTGAGATCTGTCCCTGCAGTTCCTGTAATCTCTGCTGCTGTTGCAGCAGTTGCTCGTGCTGCCTTCTTTGGACTTCGAGCTGCTTATGCGTCTCACTAATAACTGGTGACGTACTGGCCGACTGAAAATAATAATAAAATCAATTAAAAAAAAGAACAAAAAAAAAGAAAAAAAAAGAAAGAAATTATTTTTTTTGTTTATTGAAAGCAATAATTGAGAAATTATTCGATCCTTATGATTTATAAATAAGAAAAAATATGTACATCGAACATTTATGCGGACCCATGATGATAATAGCTCTAATTAGGTGTATTTATAACCGAATGAAATGTAATAATAACACTTTATGATAATTTATTGAAATCATCAATCAGCTGTGTAATAAGCGATAATAGATGTATAATAAATTTAACGCTTTTTTTTAAATTTTATTTATGTAATTGATTGTTTTAACATACGGGTAATTAAACGCATCGTATATTCCAGTTATAAACAGCTATATTAACAATGTAAAGGTACCTTCCTATATTTCTTCCGTTTGTTGAAACTGACACTTGCGTTACGTTAACCTCGATACCAGATCACGAGGGTCACAAGAATAACCAAAAGGCAGATGACATGACCAAACAGGGCTCATCAATATCATTCATAGGCCCAGAACCCAGAAATGGGTGGGTAGCAAATCTCTCTAACAAATGTTTGGAATGGTGGAGAAATTCACCAGGACAAAAACAGGTGAAAAAATGTATAGTAGAACATTCGTCAAAATATGCGGTAGCCTGATAAGCAAAGTTAGAAAGACAGTCAAAGCTGTAGTCGGTCTACTAACAGGGCATTGTAACCTGAATAGACACCTAAAGCTAATATGATTGGCCCACGAAGCCAGGCGCAGGTTGTGTCAATCTGAAGAAGAAATGATAGAACACATTTTAGACAGCCTAGCAAATGTGCGGTTTTTTGTAGTAGGCAATGATAGGCCATTGACATAGAGCTATATGGAGTGTTCAGTCTTATTTTTCTGTCCTCTTCTGATACTTTTTAAAAAGTTTAGGATTGGGGAATATAACCTAAAAATCAGAAGATTATAGGATTGGGGAATGTAACCTAAAAATCAGAAGAGGACCGTAATAAATCTAAAAAGTTTGCAGTGGATCTGGCCGATAGCCACCTCAAAGAATCTAATCTAATCTATGAGACACTTTGCATGGTATATGCAAAATTTATCTTCTTCTTACAGTGCCATACTCTATACAGAGCGTCGCGCGTCGGCTACCTCTCGCATGTACACGTGATGTGTGTCATCAGTGTTTCACAAGTACACGGGACCTACAGTTTATCGCCGAATCCGAACGGCACTATTTGAGAGGCTGTAAACACTATTGAGAGGCAAAATTTATATCATTGTTTAAAGTTGCTTGCATATTTCGACCCCAGAAATATGTCAATGATTTTTTTTTCGTGAAGAAATGTTGAAAAATTTGAATTTTTAGAAAAAATGTACAGGGTGGGTCAAATTCGACGCTTTTAAATGGAAACACCCTTTTCTATAGGAGATAGGCGAAAACTAATATCGGTGTCTGGAGCTCAATTTTCATCAGAAACATGATGGTGAAAACCGTACATCAATATCTGTTACCGTTTCGGAGTTACGGGGTGTTTTTCAAAAATGTGCATTTTTAACAAATCGCTGTAACTTTTTTGATATGGAAAATTTTGTATTTCTATGAAAACATTTCCAAAGCACCTTTTTACGTAGAATTTAATGGTTTAAGTATAATTTTTTTAAAATTAATAATTTAAGAGTTATCAACAGAAAAATTTATTTTTTATTTGGGACACCCCCTATATTTTTAATTAACTGAAAAGAATTTAAAATTACCTTTCCAAAAATATAGCACACTTGATATTTTGTTATAATCCCCTTCGAAATACAGAATTTTTTAAAAGTTCGCCACTTCTAACTAGTAGGCTTTGGACCCCTTATTGATGATATGCCCTTAATGGAACTCGAAAACATATTTTTCCAGCAAGGCGACGCACCGCCTCTGAACGCTGAAGTTATCAGCAAATTTTTGCAGCCAATTTCAAGAATAATTGAAGAGCTAACCAAGATCCCAGCCGTTGGCCGTCGAGGCCCCCTGACATAGTGCCCATGGATCTAATCCTATGGATATATTTGCGGGAGAATAAAGGTTAATTATTCTTAAGTAAAGACCTAATTTAAGCCTTAATCTAGACAAGAATTAGAAATACTTAGCAGTTATGAGAGAGTATCTTTCACCCCCACTGAGTTAATGAATACCGCGAGAAATGTTCAAAAACTGCCCGGTCTGTCCATAACAGAAGACTGTCGATAAGTCAAACACCTGTAGCAAAATCTCATGTGTTGGTTTGCTATTTATTTTTATTGTTATTAGATATAGTTTAAATGTGTTGATGTTTTGGTTTAATATATTGTAAATTGTTATAAAATTCTGCATCTCTCATAGCAAATATTATTTTCGTTTTAATTGATGTAATTGATGCTCACAGCTAGAATTTTTTTGCATTACAGCCGGTGCCGTTCAAAGCCTACTTATTTAAAGCGGGCGAATTTTTATATACTCTATATCTCGAAGAGGAATCGAGCAAAATATCAAATATGTTATATTTTTGGAAACGTAATTTTAAATCCTTTTCAATAAATTAAAAATATACAGGGTGTCCCATATAAAAAATCAAATTTTCTGTTGATAATTCTTAAATTATTAATTTTAAAAAAATTATACTTAAACCATTAAATTCTACGTAAAAAGGTGCTTTGGAAATGTTTTCATAGAAATACAAAATTTTCCATATCAAAAAAGTTACAGCGATTTGTTAAAAATGCACATTTTTGAAAAACACCCTGTAACTCCGAAACGGTAACAGATATTGATGTACGGTTTTCACCATCATGTTTTTGACAAAAATTGAGCTCCAGACACCGATATCAGTTTTTGTCTATCTCCTATAGAAAAGGGTGTTTCCATTTAAAAGCGTCGAATTTGACCCACCCTGTACAGACACATAATAGCATTTATAGGAAAGAAAACAGAAAAAATCTAGTATTTAATTTATGTAATTTACCTTATAATTGGTTTTATTCAAAAGGTATAAATATGATAAGACCTTGGTTAGGATTTGTGTTACAATGAGATTGTTGTGAGTTTTGAAAAGTAGATTCAAAAATAGTTCTTGGAATAAGACAACTTTAGGGATGCAGTTTCGGAGAGCAACGTAGCTATGTATCTGGATTACCTGTGCAAAGATCCTGCTCTAGTGCAAAAAAATGTAAAATCAAGTCAAGTACAAAGTCTAGAGTGCAGGTTGTGGATAAGATTTCACTATGATAGTAGAGTTCACTCAGTGTCTAGAAAGAGCAGATGTTGGCCACTTATTTTTTTAAATAAGATTAATTTTGAAGAACTTAATGCAATCGAATTTTCTAAAAACCTACCTTCTTCAGAATTCTTTCTGAAAAGTATCCCTGAAAGATTCGTTTGGCAATACATTCTAAAAAGAATAAAAACTCAAATTATTCCAAGAAATGTATAGAAACGAAGAATTATTCTTTTGCATATCGATTAATTATCAAGATTCAAGATATACTAAAATATATGATTTTGAAACATTACATGTGAAAAAAGATCCAAAGCTCGCAAAGGATGTTGTTATTTATATCACTGAAATTAAGAAAAAACCAGTAAGCTGCCCCAAGTGGACCAAATTTATATCAACAATAGCCCATCAAACGGGACTAAATCAGTTTCTAAATCCGAAAATTCAGGCAATTATTATCTAGTTGCAATTTAAAATTCTACAAGTGTACAAAATTCTAGAGTCTACAATAATTGTTATAATTTACATAGATCAGTATAAAAACACTAATTCACTACAATACACCAAAACTTGATTAGCGAAACGCGCGTCCACTGCAAAAGTAAAAGTGTTTTGGTGTACCTATTGTGGCAATTAAGGTTTAATTTTGCTGTTGTAAAACCAAGGGTTCCAACCCCAATTGTAGTTTACATAGATATTAGTACATAATTATGTGTTCTCTATAATAATTACTAGGGTATGGTAGGATATTAAGATCGGCGAAAAAGAAGCTTTTTTTTAATTTCACTCAAAATTAGTTATTTGGGTCATAAATGACACAGTAGCTAGCGAAACGCGGTTTTTAATATAAGATTAGGAATAATATTTGCAACAAAATTTGTAATAACATCAAAATCAGTCAAAGTCGCAGTTTTCGAGATATTAACATATTTTAGTATGGGCCGCTATACGTGCCTCCCGGCGCCAATTTTTTTTAAAATGTGCCTCATCAAAAATTCATGGGGGTATTAAAATACCCCACTCAAGTAGTTACGTAAAAAAGGTGGCTGGGGTAACGGAAGTTTAAATATTATTGTGTTCAAGACGTTCTTCATAGTACTTTAATCAATCCGCTTCTTTTTCAAAGTCACGAGATAGACGAGTCCAATTTGAAAAAGTGGTTGTCGAGTTTGGACTGTCGTTTTTTGTCGCCATCGCTGCTGCTGTTGCGGATTTAGCTCTTCTTTGGCCATTCTTGTACTCGGCGAGACGGGTAATTAGCCGGCCAGCGGAAGTGATATATCATGCAGCAATAATAATAATGACTCGTGTACCGCGCGAGTGTCGGGCGGCAGTTTTGAGTTTTTGCTCCTTTTTCCTAAGAAGATCCTGCCAAATTACATTTGTCGCAGGATCCTGGATGCGATATCCGGTCGGGGGATGTCCTGTTCGTTTTGTTCTGACGAATTTTCCTTGAATAATGTTAGTGGAAAGGCGAGTGTGAAATTATTCACGTTTGTTTTACTAAACAAATATTTCCATTACCGGGTGCATCTCAAAAGTGGCTCACCCCTATAACTTTTTTTTTCAGTTAAATAAACGATATTTGGTATGTTAAATAACATAAATTAGGATTGATTGATGTATTCAAATGAAGACTAAAGGGAAACAACGATCTAAGTCCCATTTTCTTACTTTTGAGATAAATGATTTTGGAAACTTTAAAGACTAAAGGAAAAGAAATAATAAAATGTAGCGAATCGTAAGAGGTTTTTATCAATA